TAGCAGCATCAAAAGGGAGGGGATGGGGGTAGCATTAACAAAGGGAAGGAATGTTAATAGTATGTAGCTGCAGTTACTAAACAACCACGTTAAAAAACTCAAGTATAAACTACATTGTATCATCAGTATACTAAATATACTCTCCAATAAGCTGAGCTACTAACAGTAAGTAATACATTACAATTCTACGTCGCAAAAAATATAATATGCTTCCAGCTAAACTGTTTTCTCTTACATCACACGGGTTTACCCCGTACTATATACTACCATAGACAAACCCAACATTAAATTATATACTGTATTACTATACGCCACTCTATACCTTCGTCTATAATATTACCCCAAGTATTATTCTACCCACCCCACTGTATACCACACTGCTGTATATTCACTATACAATTACGATACTGTATATTACCTTATACATTGTATTAAACATTACAATTTTATACTATTTATACAATCTGCTATACACTATACCATTGACCGTCGCATGAAAGATACTAAGAGGAAGCAACGAAATATGTCAATGGGAGAGTGGTGCGGGGAGACTTGCAGCGGAGCAAAGAATCCATTTCCTGTGGAGAATACAGTGATACCTCGGTTCACGAACGCTTCGGTTCACGAACAACTCGGTTCACGAACAGAAAATTTCATAAAAATATGCTCCGGTTCACGAACTCCGCTTCGGTTCATGAACAGGAGCCGTGGCCATTTTTATGCTAATTCCAGGCTGTCACATGGTCGTGACTTCCTGTAGGAAGATCGTGGAGAGAAGCAGAGACACAGAAAGAAGTACTGTGAGTACTGTGAAGACACATTCAGTGACTTTTTGATTTTTGGTGTGCTTTTTAGCACATACAGTACTGTACTGTACTACTGTACTGTACAATACTGTACTTACTGTATTGTACAGTTCACCCGTTTGAGTGCTTACTGTACTGGACTCCCAAACAATAACCGCCTCCCACCAGCCTCCCACCTGCCTTCCTCCATGCCAGAAGTCATCTCAAGCAAGGTTAGTGTTCTCTCTTTATACATTACTATACTGTACAGTACTACAGTAATGTGTATTGTCATTTGTTTCATATTTTTGTGCTTCAAAAACCAAAAAAAAAGGTCAGAACGGATTAACCGGATTTACATTGAACCCTATGGGAAAATGTGCCTCGGTTCACGACCAATTCGGTTCACGACCAGAGTCAGTTCACGAATTAAGGTCGTGAACCGAGGTATCACTGTACAAGATATATAGTCAATGCCAGTGAGTGAACTGCGGTCTGAAAGTCACCGTAAACGTGAACACAATCAGTTAAGATCCGAAATGGTTTATTACGTCCTTCCAATCATTGCTGAACCAGAATCCATCTTCTCCGTTGAAATTGTCTCTGTGTTTGTATATGTGGATCGCCTCATGAACGAATCTTTTAATGATAGCCAGATGGCTTGCAGAGAACCTCTGTCTTGGAGAAGTCAATGTCATGTGAGCCCTCTGAGTTGTAACAGTGATCTGCCACGGCTGAGGTGTTTGTCCTACCGTGTTTCAGGTTTGCTTTATGTTGACGGATGCATGTCGTTTGGTTTCTCCAATGTAACTGCTACCACAGAGGCACTTAGTTTGTAGATGCCAGGGTACTGTATGTCTGGAACCACATCTTTTACAGATGGGACCAGATCACGGATTTTATGTAATGTGTTGAATCGGACCTGGATCTTGTGTTTAATCAGGATTTTGGAGATCTTTTTGTGACCCCAGCAATGTAGGGTAAGGTGATGGTTTTGAAAGGCTCCTCAACAGGATCCTTCTTGTTGGTTGGAGTGATGGCTTTGCGGATTGTGTAGTCGGAGTAACCATTAGCCTTAAGAGCTTGGCGTACGTGTTTGAGTTCACTGGCAATGTGTTCCTGGTCGGAGATGCATTGGGCTCTATGGTATAGAGTCTTGATGAGGGAGTTCTTCTGGGATGAATGGTGGTGGGAATCCGGTTTTAGGTAAGCATCCGTATGGGTGGCTTTCCTGTAGACAGAGTGGCTCATTGAACCATCAGGTCTCCTTTTAATTAGGACATCCAAAAAGGGTAGCTTGCCATCTTTTTCGACTTCCATGGTGAATCTGATGGCTGGGTGTATGGAATTGATGTGTCAAGGAATTGGTCGAGAGCAGGCCGGCCATGTAGCCAGATGACAAAAGTGTCATCTACGTACCTCTTCCATAAGGTCGGGCGTAGTGGCAGTCTGGATGGCGTCAGTCTCAAATTTCTCCATGAAAACGTTGGCTACAACTGGAGACGGGGGAGCCCATTGGGGTGCCCTCAGTTTGTTTGTAGAAAGTTCCATTGCAGGTGAAGTATGTATTGGTTAAGCAGTGTCTCACCAGGGGGGTTACCCCAGTATTCAGTCCTTGATGAACCAAGTCTTCAATGATTGCGATGGTGTCAGGTACAGTACAAGGGCCTGGGTCACATCGCTGCAGACGTAGCAAGATCTGAAATCGCTGCAACCCTAAAAAACGCTAAGATGCCAGCTAGTAACATCAGCAAAGATGAGCGTTTTGAATTAGCTCAATTAAAAAAGACTCAATTGGAGCCAATGTCCAGTTGTGGATTTGTATCAGGGTTTTTTTTCTGTTACATTTGCATGTAAATACATCGTTAAATGTATGGCTTTTTTGCCAAGCCACCGCTGGATTGGGTAGCTTCCCCACATGCCTTGTAGATCGCTGGAGTTATTTAACAGCACTTCACCATGCTCATGACTGCAGGTTTGTTTTCGGCAAGAAGCCATAAACATTGTAGAAATAGCGCTGTATAACAAATAGATTATATGCACTGTACTCTGCTAACGTCAGAAAAAACTCCTGTTCACTAAAACTATTGTATTTACCAGCGAAAGTTCCACTTAGCTATTACATACTTTTCAGCGGCGGCCTGGCCACATATTAGAGAGCTGATCGAAGATGCTTATCACATGTGCGGAATTTAAAGTAGCCAAATCTCTACTACTAAAACTATTTTACAGGTAGGAACAACAGGTTACACACTGCCCACCAGGGATTATTTGTCTGTCGTGCATATGGGGGTGGGAGGGGTGGGGCTGGGTGGAGAGGAGGGAGGGGCTGGGTGGAGAGGGGCTGGGTGGGGAGGATGGGGAGGGGCTGCGGGGGAACAACAGGTTCCACACTGCCCACCAGGGATTATTTGTCTGTCGTGCAAGAATGCGCTGTCCAACCAAGTTCCTACCTGCCCACTCCGAAGGAACGTGTATATTTTACCAGCTAAGGCACACTCAGCTATACTGTATAGCGCTTTTGCATGAGTTACCGTGCCAAAAATAGCACAACGAGGTGGCTTACGTGGAAATGTATAGCAGCCAAATGCTCTAAACACGTGGTTCTAAACGTGGAGAGAAAACCCGGAGGACCCGGAGAAAAAGCCACGCGACCACGGGGATGGAGACACGCAAACTCCAAATACACAGCAGGCGTCACGGTGCGGATCAAATCCGACCTCCTTGTAAGCCAGGCAAGGTAGTTAACATCTCGCTACCTTGGTGCCAAATGATCTAAATTCACGTTTCTCAATGTAGAAGGTAAACCCGGAGGACCTGAATAGAATGCATGACGACCACCGCGCGGAGAGGGAATGTGTGAACTCAAAATACACAACAGGCTTTGTCAGGGTCGGGATCAGACCCACGATCTGCGTACCAGGCGAGCTCCGATGTTTTGTTAGTGATGGTCAACCCATCCAAGTACTGTACTGCTCAAGCTCCACGATGATTATAACTTCCGATTAGCTAGCGTGTTTGGACGCAATGCAGGTGATTTGGTCACGTACGTCGTTTTCGCAATCATTGAAACAGCGGGCAGTAATTTTTCTGTCGTGCGTCTATATTTCGGTATAAGTACTGGTCGACTAAATCTAGAGGTAAAACCTCTTACTTGACACTATATATCTAAAGATTAAAACATCTGAACTGCCAGAGATCTGGAGGTAAAACCTCTGACTTGACTCTAGATATCTACAAGTGTATATTGCTTCCGTATACTGTATCAAGTGTATATAGCTTCCGTTTATACAGATAAGTGTCTACAGCTGCCGTGTATAAATACGAATATAAAGCGGCTTTGTATATATAGGTATGTATAGATTCTGTGTAAACATCACTGGATATAATTAGTTATTACTTCAGCACACCGGCGTGTTGGAGATTAAAGCCACAACATTTACAATTACGACGTATCGCTGGTTATGACAACCCAGTTTGGAGTCTGCAACGCATCGCGCACAAACTTCACGCACGCGCCTTTGCACCCCCATTCACACACACCCATTCAAAACAGCACTTGCCCCAACAGCAGCCTGAACACTTGGGGCAAGTGCTGTTATTGAATAGCACCTATGAAGGCAGGTTTGGCACGCGAGGGGAAGGGTGGCCAACACTACGCCCAGCCGCCTTAGTCTCCCCAGTGGCGATGTTTTTACGCACCCCACCAAGTACTTATTTGAGGCCGAGTCGATCTAGGCAAGGCCCATGACCGGTTCAGATAATCGTCGCTGGTGTTCGCCGTAAGTGGGAATCGAACTCGGGTCGCCAGGTTCGTAGCGCGCTGACCGCCACAGTACCGCCCCCCACCCATTCACACACACACACCAACGCACACACCCACGCACCCACACCAGCACACCAACACACCCACACCGCCGCCATTCGTCACTAAGTGGCGGTGACGTCACCACGACGCTTGTGCCAGGCCATGTGCACCTTGACTCCTTGAGGCCACGTGAAGTGTCGAAGGCTCACCGACAGGTCTCTTGAAAAGACCCAGGTGCCATGGGTTGGCTGACTGAGACGAGTGGTAGCTGCACCAGCTGTACCCCCTACAGTACTGTGCCAACTACACACACGCGCCCCACTCACACACACACACACAAGCACCCAATTCACACGCCCCCACTCACACACGCACCCAATTCACGTGTCTGTAAAACAATAACGCACCTGTGAAGATGCGCGCAGGAACAAGGCGATTTGCTCGCGAATGTCGTCGTGGGTCTCGTTGGTTACGAGCCCCGGGAACGGCTCCTTGAGCTCCTTGCAGGGGACTCGGGCCAGCATGCTCCGCCTTTGCCTCTCGCCCAGGTGGCTCAAGTTTCCCAGCGCGGGAAAGCGAGTCCAGTCTAGGACCTCGGTGCCGCCGCAGACGACGTAGCTGCCGTCGAAGAGCGCCAGGATGGGCCACGCCATCGCGGCGAACATGAACGTCACGTTCCTGAACAGAGACGCGCCGACGAAGAACACGAACCGGCAGCAGCAGTTGTCGCAGCCGTACTTCCTTGCCAGGGTGTCCGCGGCTCTGAGGGTCGTGCACAGCTGGATCGTGAAGCCCACGACCGAGACGACTCCGAACGGCGCCGCCAGTGCCCAGAGCGTGTAGCTCCAGTTCTCTGGCGACGTGCAGGGGCAGTGGAAGGCGAAAAGGCCGAACAGGGGCTGAGCGCACGCGATCATCACGGGCATGAGCACGCCCGTGACGAGACTCGGCATGTAGTCCCTGAGAGAAGACGCCAGCTTGAACAGGGAGCCCAACAATCGCCCCGACATGGTTGTAGAGGACCACCCGCTTCGCCGCCGTCGCCGCAATGAAGAGGCTGCGCGGGGTGCCGGGGGAGAAAAAGGTCCGCGCCCTTCTCGCTAAACCGGTCCGACCGAGTCCCCCCCCCCCCCCCCAGCGGATTGTGTCGAAGGCGCGACCATTTCTCACAGTTGTCGTGGTTACGCATAACTCTGAATGTGCAGTCACGTGTACTGTACTTATTAGATTGAAACCAACTTCAAAATCAACGTTTTTGGGTTTAGATCGCGTTATTTATAAATGTGTCGTAACCCTCCACCACTCGACACGGCCAATCAGTAAAAAAGTGTCACGTTGACAAAAGACAAATAGTTCACTGCTTTAGCCCACCGGTGTGTTAAAGCTTGAAACCACAACATTTACAATTTGAGTACGACGTTTCTCTGGAAATTGCTATAAAAATGTTTTATTCATTTGTAGGGCTGTTACAGAGGGGCTGTTTGTGTAGGGCTGTATGCATAGGATCAAACGGGTAACTAACACAGTGGACGGGGCTCCGTCAGTACACGGGGAGGTGCCCGCAACGACGTCCGCACCGGGCGGCATGGGGGGGCTGCCCGTGGGGGGGGTTGTGATCCTCTGGGGGGGTATAAAAGGGGATGAGCCAGAGAGCTCGGGGTTGAGTCTTAGAGTAAATAGGGGAAGACGGAAGATCGACCAGCTAGGCCCTGGACTCCCCTGGGACGCCGCCCTTATCAGGGCCGCGCAGGACCGAGCCAGTGGCGTGGTCCCGTGAACCAGAGTTAGTACTCTGGGACTCCGGGTACCGTAGCCCGACTGACCAGTGTCGGGCCAGATAGCCTCCCCGTTAGTGGAGGACTAGGGATAGGTCAGGGGTAGCTAATAGAATATTCCCAGCTATCCGGGTGAGGGGGCCGATACACCCCTCTAGTATTGTACGACCATTTGTATAAATAAATACGTGTGCCTTAAAACGGTGTCCAAGCGTCCTCAACGGTACTTCACATTTCTCAATCACGGGAAGGCCGCTTCCTTGAACAGCCAAAAGGAACAGGGAAAACAGGAAAACGCATGACCACAACCCGAAACAGGGGATCCTTTTGTAACAAACAGTGCCCTTACTTCAGTAGCACAGAGTACGAGGCGATAGAACTTCCCATCCTACACACCGCAAGGGCCCAGGACTGTTTAAAATTCCTTCATTTCTCAATCATTGGTAGACCACTACCTTGAACAGCCAAAAATAACATGAAAAACAGGAGACCGCGTGACCATAACCCGAAAACAGGGGATCCTTGTAACAAACAGCCCCCTTACAGATGCACAGAATACGTCGCGATAGAACTCCCCATCCCATGCACTCTTTAAGCAAAAAGGCAAAACAAGTGCTCAGCGTCGCAAAGGAGGATACATTCATTCACCCATCCTCCACGACGGAGGCCATTCTCAACCAGCACAATTCAACCTATGCCACCCGGAGGTGGCGGCCATCTCCCATTGTCTCCCGCTCCACCTCCACCACCCTTTCTAACAGCCCCCTGGCTAGGCGGTATACCTCGGGAGGCGACATATAGATGCCCTTAATCAGCTTCTGGCGCGCCGTCCACAGGGCCTCTTTTATGGCGCCTATGACGGCCCATGTCTGAGCCCAGACCTCACCCACCCTCTGTCTGAACATCCCCCAAATTATATTAGGCGCTGTGGTCTTTCCGGGGCAAAAATGGGACAGAAGGGGTCGACATAACTTCCCACACCTCCTGGGCAAATGGGCACTGTATGAGGGCATGGGCAGCGCTCTCTCCCAGGCCGCAGCCTCTCGGGCAATCAGGAGAGCGGGCCAATCTGCGGGAACACATAAATAGTCTGCATTCCAGCCTGTCCCATGCGGCTAGCCAGGATAAGTCCCGCTGCCTTTTCGTCAGAGCTGCCGATGTTACATTTTTCCAAATTTGTCGGTGCCGGGTACCCCGAGCACCTGGCACCTCTGTACAGACCTCCTTTTTAGACATTTCCGCAAGGACTTCCCTGGGAACCCACGACCCCCGTGTCCGGCCCGGCTCATACTTCGTAATGTATTCGTTCACCGCGGTGCACAACCACCCCTGAGGCCAAGCCAGGGGGGTGCCGCGCAGCAACGACGCCATGCCTAGCCGCCTCAGGAGCCACGCCAGTCTGTACTGTACATAAATACGAGGCTTTCACCGTGGAGGCCATTGGAGAAATATAGGCGCAGCGCATCAGACAAAAATCGTGTCGAGGATGCACGGGACATTCGGAGTCCCCCTCCCACCGTTCTCGGCACGTTTGTACATTGTTTGTCTTTTCACTCGGTCCATCCCTCCCCCCCCCCAGATGAACCTGAAGAACAGGCGTTCCATCCTTTTTGCCATTTGCGCGCCCGGCGGGAACATGTAGGCCAGGTAGATAAGTACCGGGAGGATTTCCACCCTCAAGACCAACATTCTACCTTCCATTGAAAGGCATCTGTCTGCCCAACCAGCCAGCCTGCCCCTCACCATGCTCTCTTTTCCCCTCCATATCTTTGTTGCAGAGTCCTCCCTATAGAACGTGACTCCTAAGATTTTGATCCCCTCCACCAGGACTGTTATACCTGGCGGGCGACCCTCAAATAACCTGGGGTCACCGAATATCAGCAACTCACTTTTGCTTACGTTCACCTTTAATCCTGAGGCCAAAAATAATCTATCCGCGAGCCCTAGGGCCTCCCATATCGAAGCAACATCCCCACAGAAAATGATAACATCATCCATATACATTGCAATGTTTGCTGGTTCCGTACACCCTGGCATGCTCACCCCTCTAATCAGCCGGCTTCCCCTGACAGCCTGGGCAAAAGGCTCCATGCACATTATGAATAACACAGGCGACATCGGACACCCCTGCCGCACACCGGACCCAATTGGAAACCCTTCCAAGAGGACTCCATTTATTAGCAGGCTACCTGTGAGCTTATGATATAGTTTCCTTATCCAATCAATAAGCTGTTTCCCCACCCCCATTCGCCTCAAAACCGCGAACAAGTAATCGTGCGAGATGCTATCAAATGCCTTCTCCTGATCTAAACTGAGTAGTCCCAATGAGTTACCCCTCTCCACAGTGGTTTCCACCACCTCCCTCAACAGGACGAGGTTATCGGATATCCGCCTGCCCGGGACCGCAGACTTCTGGTCAGACCCCACTACCTCCCCCACCACCTTCCCCAGTCACACCGCAATAACCTTGGCCAGGATTTTATAATCGGTGTTCAGCAGGGTGATCGGGCGCCAGCTCCTGAGGTCACTGCCCTCCCCCTTCCCCTTGTATACAAGGGTTATGACCCCTCTTGTCATTGAATCTGGCACAGGGCCTTCCTCCGTAATTTCCTTATACATCTGCCACATGTCGTCCCTGATGGTATTCCAAAACGTAACATAGAATTCGGCCGGTATCCCGTCTTCCCCCGGTGCTCTGTGCCGACGTAATCCCCCCACCACCTCATCCAATTTTGCCCCCTGGATATGCTTGTTCATCTCCTCTGGAGTCCCAATAACCCTATCTACCTCCCCTATAAATGTGCTCCGTGCCCCCTCGTCTGACTGCCTACTCCTGTACAATTCCTTGAAGTAACCCCTGGCGGCCTCCACTATCTCATCTGTGTGCATGAGTCTACCTAATCTGGGGCATACCCATTCTCGGATTGTGTTGTCCGCTTTCCTGCATTTCTTAAAGAAGAAACGCGTGCATCGCTCCCCATCCTCGACCGCCTTCACCCGTGCCCTGAAAGCAAGCTACGTGGCCTGCTTCTCCAACAACGCAGAGATCCTATCTTTTAGTTGCTTTATTTCTCCCATGACGGGGAATCCCAGTTCCATCAGTTTATACGCTCCCTCCAATTTCTCATTTAATCCCCGCAACGCACCCCCTACGCTCCTCCTTCTGCTCTGGAAAAAGGTCTTAATTCGCCCCTTCACCATTCCCCACCATTCAGCTATAGTGCCAAAGTAGCACCGCAGGCTCCTCCATTCCTCGTACCGCCTGACAAATTCCTCCACCACCTTTGTGTCCTCCAGCAGTCCCGTATTCATGCGCCAGATTCCCCTTCCCAACCTCAGCCCATCCGGGATTCTGAGCCTTCCAGCTATCATCTTATGGTCGGAAAATGAGAAGGGTTCGTTTTCCACCCTCTCCACCTTAACCTTGGCAGAGACAAAGAGGAAATCAATCCTCGAGTGTGAGGTTCCCAAACAACTCGACCACGTGAACCCTGGTCGCTTTGGGTGTAACGACCGGTAAGAGTCAATCAAATTAAAATCTCTAACCAAAGCCCCCAGCCTCCTAGAGGAGGGGTCCAACTTTCGACTTCCGGCGACTGGCAGCGTGTCCGACAGGGTTAGTGGGAAATTTAAATCGCCCCCCCCATGACGATGTGCCTTCGTGTTAGCAGCAAGGCTGCCACGTTCTCTAGTAACTCCACACGTTCCGGAGAGCCTGTGGGGGCGTACACATTGATCAGCCGGACCGCCGCCCCACCATATGCAACATCGACATAGTGGAGTCATCCCGGGACCACTTCTCGGGCCTCCTGCACCTCTATGTTCTTTCTACCTAGGAGGATAACCACTCCTGAGCACCTATTAACATTACTTCCGGACCAGAAGCAGTGCCCCTCCCAGTCTCTGGCCAGCTCCTCTCGACCAAGGGAGTATGGCAAGTGGCACTCCTGTAAAAAGTAAACGTCCTTTTTCAGGGACCGTAGATAATGCAGAATGGCCCCCCTCCTAGCCCTGCCCCACATTCCCCTCACGTTTACTGATGCTACGGTGAGGTCCATACTCCCTACCCAGACTCGTCTTCCAATAGTTCATACAGGTTTGTGTCAGCCAATCCCTGCAACTGTTCCGCTCTCCTAGGCTCCTTGGGCAGCCCTCTTCCCTGGTTGGTCTTAGCCGCCACGGCACCATCTTCCAACGACCTCGCGTCCATCGAGGAGTCTGTTGCCTCCAGGTCCCATTTGCGGGTCGTCCTCGCTGAGCCACGCGGCGCTTTCCGCTTCCTTTTCACCACCTTCTTGAATTTCTGC